GAGACGTTTTTGGTTTCTTCTGTTCAGCAGACCTTTGCATCACCACAGAGCCCCACTGCTCTTCCTCTGCAATATAAATAGTGTATATATGTGTGTGTGTGTGTGTGTGTGTGTGTGTGTGTGTGTGTGTGTGTGTGTGTGTGTGTGTGTGTGTGTGTAAAAGTTAGGCGACCCGGCTCGAAGCTGCCTGCGGTTCGGCCCTGCTCTCTGTCTGGCCCTCCGCCCGGCTCAGCTGTGTAACGGCAATAAATAAACGATAAAACGGAATTTACAATAAATATTTTTCCTGTTAAAAAAAAAGAGTCAGTGAGTGTTTTATTTGAGCCGAAGTGAAGAGAGAGAGACAGAGAAAAAGCAGCAACAACTTTTTAGGGGGTTAGGGTGGTGAAATGCTGCAGGAGGATCAGTTTTTTACACTTCAGATCCCCTTCTTTTCTGTGTTCTGTATAAACCCCAAGTGTCCCTGGTTTTAACAAAGCCTTTCCTGCATGGTGGCTCACTGTCTCAATATTGACTCACAGCGGTGGGAGGCTGAACAATGTGCTGCTGCTGCTCTTGCTGCGCGGTCGATATCGGGCCCCTGCTGCCTGCATGTCTTCTCCTGGGACTTAGACGGTCACTTCTGCCCCCCCAACCAATTTACACACACACACACACACACACACACACACAGCCTGCGCCTCCCTCCTCCTCCAGCACCGGACAAGCCCACCAAACCCCGGAGACGAGATGCTCTCTATTGCGGCTTCAGCCCTCCGCTTTAAAAAGCCGCCCTCGGTGTAAATCATTTGCACCGTTTCCACGTGTTGGAACATTAAAAAACAAGGCAGCCGTCTCACTCCAAATCACAGCAAATTAATTTACTTAACCCGGAGAGCAAGCTGCAGTTTCCGATTGAAATTGACCTTTGCGCGCAGGAAACTCAAAGTTCCAGTGAAGTCCGGGACGCGGATGTTACACCGACTGGTAATCCATTTACGCATCCCGGATGCCTTTGAGGACAAACTGCGACATGAAACCGACTTTCTACCAAGAATTTGACATTTGATAAATAAAGCATGATTCACCAAAATCACCGAATTCAACATGGAAAAAAATGTGTTTTGTCAAAATACAAACCCCCCCCCCCAAATGCGCGCAAATGTGAGTTTTCAGTGGCATTTAGTGAACGATTATTTTTTTAATATCATTAATAATTCAAGTACATTCGAACGAAATTGCAGAGCGCTGTAATCAAATGGCAACTTTAAAGTAGCCCGCTTGTGCTTCATGGTTTGTATTTGAAAGCTCCTGTCATATTGTGGTGGTTTCTTCACTCGTCTCCATCATTTCTCCCGTCAAACCGGTGAGACTGATGCCGGCAAAAGAGAAAAGAAAAGTGCGTTCAGTGGCTGACAATAACGCAAGACAGAGAGGAAAGGGGAGCTCTTACCTGCGAGTCCGACATTCCCCATCACCCTGCAAGTATTTATGAGGAGGATAAACAAACAAACGTCCCGGGAAAAACAAGCGCTCCCCATGCTGACAGACGGTGCGAGGATTCAGCAGGGCTTTTTCTGGGGGTTTGGACCGTGCGTGTGTGCGTGTGAGTACGTGTGCGCGTGTGTGTATGTGTGTCGTATACGAGAGGAGGACTGCTCTTTGGTGGACCGGCAGAGAGAGAGAGAGAGAGAGAGAGAGAGAGAGAGAGAGAGAGAGAGAGGAGGCAATACGAGCCCTCTGATTGGCTTGTTTGTGCCGGTAGAGGAGAGAGAGGGAGAGGGTTTAATGAGCGACGAGCAGCGCAGCGACATGATGGAGACAGCCTCAAGGTTCCCTAAACCTAAAAAACATAGATAAATATGAATCGTATGGTACATGAATACATTTATTATATATATACTCCCGAAATGTCCCATTATAAGTCTAAGGGGTAACTAGATTATTATTGTTTTTTTCTGACGTTTCTCTAAATTATTTTACTTGTTAAACATTCCAGTATTTCTTAAACTCAAACAATCTGAGAAAAATCCACTTAGGTCAAATTGCTCACAACTTATGTCCACCACCTGCCTGAGAGTCACAAGCCCAAAAAAAGTTGTGACCTGCTGATTTAAAGGACTTTTGTTTCATTGTATTTAGAGTTTCGAAATACCCCAAACAACGTTTTTCAGTTGAACACCACATATATGTGTATTTAGTAGTGTTGTGGATGGCTTCGGGTCCAAATCTTGACATTGAAGTGCAAAGTATTTTAATTCTACATATTGTGTGATAAATAAACATGGTGTCTGCCCTCTACTGGTTGAAACACCGCTATTGCAATTGAATTTCGCTATTGGCTGATCTGTAGGCAGATGACGTGCAGGAGGCAGCATTCGTCACCAACCTGGCAGCAACCTCCGGTTCTGGCGAGCGAAGCCAATGCATAAGTGTCTTACAACTTGCATTCTCTCTTGTGTCCATCAGGGGGTGACTCCTCTGGTTGTATAGAAGTCTATGAGAAAATGACTCTACTTCTCTCTAGATTTATTACCTCAGTAAACATTGTAAACATGAGTTTATGGTCTCAATCTCTAGTTTCAAGTCTTCTTCAATACAGCATGATGTTCATTTAGTAAATGATGGTCCATTTAGAGTCAAACAGACCATAAAGCAGGGGATGCTTTAGGACGGGCTTACTGTGATTGACAGGTCGCTGCCGCTACCAGAGACACTCTGACATTCTACGTCACTCCTCCGCATTCCAAATGTGATAACTTCCGTTCATTGGTTGCAATAAAAACAACATGGCGACAGCCGTAATCCAAGATGGCGACGGCCAAATCGCCAAACTTGAGGCTTCATAACGGCAGTCCACAAACCAATGGGTGAAGTCACGATGACTACATCCACGTCTTATATACAGTCTATCCGCGCGACAGGCGTGACACGCTACAAACCGAAGTTGAGCTAGTCTCAACGTTTTTTCAGCGCCCCAATGACACGAGAAAGCATCAACCAATCATGTGTTTTTGTTCCACCACGTTCTGTTCCGTCTAAAATCCACATAACGACATAAACTACAGCAACAAATGCTTTGGCAAAACTTCAGCGGCGACTCGCCTACAACGCAGCTGGCCACGTTTTGTTGCTTTTGTCACTCGTAAAGTGTGAACACAGCATTATGCTAATCGCCAGCAAACACATATCCCAGCCTTGCACGTGAACTCAAATTCCCGAATGTTTACATGAGTTTATACTGTATTTTGTTACCATGACAGTACCTTTGCAACACTACCCAACCATAATCATAACAATAGGCAGCTATACAGTGATTAGCATAAGCTAATTGAAAGGGTCGGCTAACGGCTAACTTGAATGATCATTTAAAACCAGTTCAGCTAAGGTTAAATGTTAAAGTGACACACCAATCCCAGCTCTTCATATGGTGCTTCAGCCAAACCTCTGGTGTTTAGTTACTTTTAAATTTAATTTGTAAATCCAACCCCGCAGTGTTGCCCTAACTGTGCCCACTAAGGAACCCCAACGGTCCTGAGGCCATAGTTTAGGAACCACTTAGGCGTGATTGTATGAGGGCAATTTTAGAAGCAGAGACTTGGGAAATATCAAGGAGTCTATGAAGGCTTGAATTCACTAAGTTTTTCTCCTTCAATATCTATTGGCAAAATTTTGTGACTCATGTAATTTAAGAAGGGTTTCAAGGATTAAGAAATACTGACACCTAGTGGGTTTGACATCAAGGTTAAAGAGTGGATCGCCAATGTCCACAACCTGAAATAATTCAATGAATGAAAGGATCACACACACTAACTGACACATAAACCTTAAACAGGGCATATTTCAGCTTACGCTACTGGATACCGGTTGGTTTATGGGGCTCGGGACAAATAGGGTTGGGGGAATGTGTTGGGGCACACTCAATGGGGGGCATATGTCACTGGCAGGTTAATCCAGTTATGTCAAGGGTCACCAACCATTCATTCATGTTGAGGATTAAAAACAAGTCAACATACACATGGTGATTGTCATTTTTTTAAGTATTTTTTCTAAATGAGCTAACAGTTAAAAAACAATAATGGTTCTTGTTTTTGCCCCGCTGAGCGACGTTCAAGAAGCTCTGGGAGTTCAAGGACCACAGTTTAGGTAACTTTAATTGTGCAGGCTGTTGGTGAATATAGTATTTATTAGACCCTCTGCAAACCCAAAATAGTCACTGGTGCACAGCTTTATTTTGATAGATATAAAGACTTGGGTAATGAAGGAGGCCGCTGAGTGAATCATTGTTATTTCCCATATTTGATTACATTTATCACCAGCCCATAGCTACGTCTAGTTACAATTTCAGTCATACCGCTTTAATAGTTTTACAGACTACAGCAAACAAGCACAAGCACTCAGACCGAAGCTGGCATCCCCGCTGCTGCCAGTTTCAGTTGGAAGTGAAGTCAGCGTAAAGAAGACAAACAGCGCCATCTGCTGGATGAGCTCCTTCGACGTGACTCGTACTTTGCCGCCCCGCCCACATCAATGTGTTCTTATTTCTGTCCAATCACAGAGAGAATACAGGGTGAGGCGTTTAAGAGCAACACATTGTCAGCTTTAACCGTAAAAAGAGGCTTATTCTTTGCGGTTGTCTGGTGCGACTCATTTACCACATTTTAACATCTAACTCATTACGACGTTCTTATATTGCAACGACGTAGCAGCGTGTAACTGTGGCTGGTGGGTGCGTTCCTTGGTTCTTAGGACTGTACTTATGGTAGAAGAGCCACTTCACGGAAGCGTGTAGTTTTTTAGCATCACTCTAAAACCACAGAAGTGAACTCATATTATTATCGCCACGTACCCTTATCTACGTAGTTGTCAATCACCCTGCTATTGCCCACCTTTACATTTTGTGACATTTCATCTGCTGTGTTTTGCTGAAGATAAAATAAACTGTGGTAGCCTAAAAAATAATTTTGTGAGGTTAACGTACAATAAAAACAGTACTTGAATGCATCACGGGATCTCGTGAACTGTCATGGCGTCTCCCTTGAAGGGGGTTTGGTGCTGGAGAAAGTAGCCGCTGTCATTTATCAACTACCTCGCGCGTGCAGTGCAGCTAACCCCGACCGAAGAGGCTTTTAGGAGCGGGTAGTTACCATGGGCACCGTCCATGCTAAGGTAAAGTGTATTTCTTCCTGACTGAAGCCTCTCTGCGGGTTTGTGACCATGACCTCCCTGCCTGGCCAGTGCTGAAGGCTGCACACTCACCAGCATTGTAGTCGATGTTCTGTCACACACCGTTTGAAAAAGACGAGCAATGCAGAGCAATGACGGGTGAACTGTAGTGTACACCGGCGAAATGTGCGTAGTGAAACGGTATAACTATGCCTCTAATTGATTTGAACGCCCGTAATACTGCTAATACATGCTGGGCGGGGTTTTCAAAATAAGAGATCACTTTTTTTTTTTTAAATACCTCGTTGTGGGGATGATTTAGTGGGCCATTGGTGCTTTCAGGCGGTATTTATAGAGAAGAGCATAACAATAAGGTGTTTTATTATCTCAAAAGAGTATAACAAATTCAGAAAATAATTCCACTTGTCTGTAACAGTCTCACTTACGGTTGAGCTATTTACCTCTATCACCTCCTTAGAATAACCAACAATACCCCCAAAAGTATCCAAGTATCAATATTTGTATTCATCTTCTAATTTATACTACAACTTATTGAACAAGTCGACCCTCGTGCTCAGAACTGTCTGAACTGACTCACCAATGCGCTGTGACATTCACAGCCAGTAGGACATCAGGCACTCGCGTGCTGTGTCCTCTCATAAAGCCCCCACCTATTGACTTTCCTGCCCTTTAAAGGTGCCATACATACTTTTTTTTAGTTATGTCGTTGTTCTGGACTGTGTTAGGATTAACTGTAAAGTCCCACCGTACCTGACTTTAAAAAGGGGCTCTTTGCATTAGATTGTGCAGGCGGTTTCATTTAAAGCCTTGCGCTCATCATTGTTGTAGAGTCTGGATCCTCTCCCGATGCATGGCCGGGACTTGGGTATCCACCCTGATGACCTGGTGGAACCTCCAGAACCGGAGCAGGAGTCCAAGCAGGAGATCCTGGAAAACAAAGATGTGAGTAGTAGCAGTAGTGCTCGTATCATGGCAGCTCTTATAGTAGGTTACACTTCCAAATTACAGCCAGCAGAAGAGAGGAAGAACAACACCAAACCGATCACCTCTGCTTGCTGAAAAAGAGAGCGCAATCACATTTTTTAGTTTTGTTTGTATCCGTGACATGATGCCGATGTGAAAGTAATCCAGGTGTAATATCTTTGATTGCAGGTGGTCGTCCAGCATGTCAACATCCAGGGTCTTGGAAGAACTAAAGAGGACCTGCTCGGCTATGAGATCTCTGAGGTTTTCCACGCCAAAAACCTCATCGACGTATGTATTTCCGACTGTGGCATGGTTATAGCACTCTGACTCCTGAGTTTTATAAAGATTAAAGTAGATATGTTTTCTGTCTCGGTTACAGGTGATGAAGAAATCTCACGTCGCCAGACAGAAGCTGCTCCGCCTGGGAATCTTCAAAGAGGTGGAGGTCCTGATCGATACATCTGAAGGTAACTCATTCTTTCCCAAAAACAAGCCACACAATGGAATGCTTTATTTTTAAATCACAATTTGAGCTTCCAACGATTATGAAAACAAGATAATCGACATAAAGCGATTATTGTGCCGCATTCCATTTTGCAGTAATGCTCTTTTGATCTTTTGTTATAAATCCAGCGCACCCCTTTAACTTAACAGCGGTACGCTTTCGCCCCGCTCCACCTCGTCCCGTTCACCATGCGTTGTAGTTGTGACTTTCTTTGCTGAATCATCACCATTCATATCTATGATTGTGTTCTTCATAGATCTAGCCTCTTAACGTTGTTCTCCGAGTGCACCGGATTGATGCATTTCACTTTGAAATGTACTTAATGTTCAAAATCCATGTTACTGAAGTCAGTGAGTAATCATGTTAAATATTCATGACCTCAATATTGAACAACATAATGGTGAATAATTATTGTCATAACAGAGCAGCCCAAATAAAATCATCTTCCATTGCCCCAAACTGAAATGTGTAAGAGAATGGTACAGTTCATTAAACATCCGTCTGTATTTCTTCTCGTGCTTCTGTTGGTAAATGTTGCTGTGAGACGTGATTGCATGCTGTTTTTCTATTGGACGACGGCCATGTGACGTGAACATGCAGGAACAAAACAAACGTTTTTCCCCCTGATTGATTGTCCCTCCCCAGGTTCGGACGCTTTGCCCAACGGACTGAATGTAACTTTTGAGGTGACGGAGGTCAAAAGGCTGACGGGAAGCTACAACACCATGGTTGGCAACAATGAAGGAAGCATGGTGAGAGAAACACTGTATTATGGGCTGTGGGTGGAGCATGAGAGCGTAGGATAGTTAACTAGGCCACTGAGGTTCCCTGTGCACACACCATAAACACATCGTTTCGTCTTTGAAACAGTTTTATACCATGGCCATGGAAAATACTTTGTTCAAACTTAGATTAAAGTTCCAGTGGACATTTTAATCAGTTCTTTAAATCAGGTTTATTAGATTGTTGTAACTATAGCAACAATACTACAACTTTCCATGGCTTTCTCTGCATGACACCTTGGTGTACTGAAAAAGATATGAATAACACATTTATCACTTTATTTTTACATTTAAAGCCTTTATTGGGTTTTTTCAAATGTAGCTTCAGATGTCTGTCGTCATTTTTTGATGACGTCATCACAAATATATTTTTTGTTATTGTGGTTATATAAATGCAAGTTATAGTTCTGTTAGATTGTTGCTAGACCGCCCAGTTAATACAGGCCCCTAATCTGTAGCTGTGCAGAGGTCTAAACACAATGAATAGACATGCAAAAACCAAAAAACACTGGGCAGCATTCAAATGTTGAGTTAGTTATTTTTCCAAGTATTCAGTCCAGCCCCACTAAGATAGTCGGCCTTTCTCACAGCAGACATTTGGACATGTCACACAGCAGAAAAGCACATGTGTAGCCAATAGCATTACTAACGGCTGCATTCCAATTCAGATTGAGCTGTTTTATGTGCATGCTGGCCCACTAGTTACTGGAACACTTGAGTAGAGCGGAGCCCCCAATAATATTCTATTGGTTGCACTTGTGTCTTTCCTGCTATCACAAGTCAAATGTCATCATCACAGTGAGTTGTTGGTAACTAGTTAAAGTGGCTGTGGGCTAACAGGATCGGTCCGGTCTTCCAGGTGCTGGGTCTGAAGTTGCCCAACATGTTTGGTCGAGCGGAGAAACTCACCTTCCAGTTCTCCTACGGGACCAAGGAGACGTCCTACGGCCTGTCCTTCTTCAAGCCCCAGCCTGGGCACTTTGAGCGCAAGTACGTCGGTGAATGTTCCTTATAGGCCGATTCTCACATGTGGGATTGCCAGCGCTAGCTTCACTGCACCGCCGTGGCAGCACAGTGATGGAGTTGTTTTCAGATTGTGTCCTCTGTTTCAGCCTCACCCTCAACATGTACAAAGTCACCGGTCAGTTCCCATGGAGCTCCTTAAAGGAGACCGACAGAGGCGCATCTGCAGAATTGAATGTAAGTGTGTGTGTGTGTGTGTGTGTGTGTGTGTGTGTGTGTGTGTGTGTGTGTGTGTGTGTGTGTGTGTGTGTGTGTGATTTTTAACTAGATACAGAGTGAGCAACCATTGACCTAGAGACCAGGAAGAACGTGTAACTACTGTCACCCAGACACAGAGATACATGTCATCCAAGTTTTAACACGCTGTATAATCACCTTGTATTATAATCTATGATTCCGTCTTGCATTTAGTACTCAGAAAATAATATACAGTATATTTATTGTTTTCATAAAGAAAACGGTGGCATTACGTAAACAAACTGGCATTCACAGGGTTACAATTCAGTAAATGAATGAATATTTAGTATCTCTGTTCAGGACTGATGTTTGGTAAAAGATTTAACTCTGCAAAAGTGGAAAATAATGTGAATAAATGATTTTATGGCAGTTTTTTGATGCAGACATTTTGAGTCCTCTAAGCAACTTTTATTTTTTGTAAAGGGATGCACTGTTCAGTAAAACTTCTCCCCGTCCTCCTGCAGTTTCCTCTGGGGAGGACCAACCACACGCTGAAGTGGGAGGGTGTATGGCGGGAGCTGGGCTGCCTGGCACGCAGTGCGTCCTTCGCCGTGCGAGAGGAGAGCGGACACTCGCTGAAATCTGCCCTCTCGGTACGGCTTTTCTAGCTCCCACTACACCCAACATTTCAGTTGCTTTTCTTTTATGTTATTTTGTCTATTCTGAAAAAACACGACTTCTATCAAAAGTTACTGTTTTTTGTCTTTTCCATATTTCACATTTTCAACGTTTCTGAGCGCTATAAAACCACCACAATTTTGACAGAGCTCCGGTTTTGTTTGCAGCACACTGTGTCAATCGATTCAAGAAATTCCGCCATTTTCCCCAGCCGGGGTGCCTTACTTCGGATCAACCAGGTCAGTGTGAACGCGTGTGAACGCATGTTTATGCCTCGCCCAACAAATAAGGTGCAAAGAACATTTCACACCATGAAGTCACTGTAAGGGGCCATTTATTCAGTTACTGAGTCAATAAATGAACTTTTTCTCTATTCAAAAAGAACAGTTGCTTTTTTCGGACTTAATTTAGTAGTAGTTGAATAGTTTTACTTGAACCAAAGATGAAAATGCCTGAAAAAGAAGTCACAAATGAAGAACAAGTTTAGCTGCTTTTATGGGCTGAATGGCATCTAAAATAGTCTCAGTTGTTACCAACTCCTCAGTGTTTGTTTCTTCAGTGTTACATGACAAAGAAACGGTCTGAAATGTTAAATTGCTCCCAGATCATCGTTGACGTGTTGAAACTCGACACCGTTCACGGTGTAGTTTTGAAACAATAAGTTGAGCTAGTGGGACATTTTGGGATTTTTTGGCACCAGCAGAAGTTGTATTTCTGAGTTGCTTCTGCACCAACAAAGATGTTTTATCCGTCCGCCTGCAGGAACTGGCTGGGTACACAGGAGGAGACGCCAGCTTCCTGAAGGAGGATTTTGAGCTGCAGCTCAACAGACGGCTCTTCTGGGACTCGGTAAGACGAAAACAAGTCACTCCAGACCTGTTCAACAAAGTTTTTCAGCTTGTTGTTTTGTTTGTAGTTGCATCAAAGAACCACCAGTGGGCGATAAAGCAGCACTAAAGTAGTTCTGGTACACTGAATAGTTTTTATCTTTTTAGGTTTTGTGTATATCTAAACTCTTTGTGTCCTCTCAGGTCTTGTCTGCGTCTCTGTGGGGGGGAATGCTTTGTCCCATCGGACGACAGCCGTCCTGCATCGCTGACAGGTACAGAGGGGTCATCTGGCTCTGACACATCAGCCCTCAACAAATCACTTCCACTGAGAGCACATTAATACTAATTATAATAAGATAATCCTTTATTAGTTCCATAGTGGGGACATTTGCAGGATTACAGCAGCAAAGTAGTACCAATAGAAAAACAAATAAAGACAAAACAAGTACAATATATAGTCAAACAGTAAAGGTATAATAAATAAGTAAATCGCTAAAAATACTACATAATCAGATTGAGTGGTTGGATACACATTATTGCACATATGAGGTAGAAAATATGATTTTTTTTCTATTGCACAGAGTAGAGTATATTGCACGCATTGATATTGCACATGAATGAATGAGTAATTTGCTGGGTTTTTAAACGGTATGTGTGGTCTACTGGGAGCAGAGCTGGTTGTGCAGCCTGACAGCGGCAGGAAGGAAGGAGCTGCGGTACCTCTCCTTCACACACTGAGAGTGAAGCAGCCAGTGCACAGAGCTGCCACTTGTCCTGCATGGGGGAGGAGGTGTTATCCATCAGGGATGATGGCTTAACCATCATTCTCCTCTCTCCCACCACTTCCACTGGATCCAGTGGAACACCCCAGCACACTGCTGGCCTTCTTCACCAGTCTGTTAAGTCTCTTCCTATCGACCACTCCATAAAAGATGGCTGTTGCCACCACAGAGTTGAAGAAGGTCCTCACGAGTGCTTCACCAGGTCAGACTCACTCCCTTATCCGCACATACTGTGGACGGTTGGTGAGGTAGTCCAGGATCCATGCTGTGAGGTGGTGGTCCACCCTGGTCTGTTCCAGCTTGTCCCTCAGAGGCTGGATGGTGTTGAAGGCACTGGAGAAATTCAAAAACATGATTCTCACAGTGCTTCCAGCCTTTTCCAGGTGAGAGAGGCATCTGTGTAGCAGGTAGATGACAGCGTCATCCACCCCGATACCATGCTGGTAGGCGAACTGAAGTGGGTCCATTGATGGTCTCGCTAGGGGGTGGAGATGGACAAGGACCAGCCTCTTCAGAGTCTTCATCAGGTGCGATGTCAGTGCGACCGGCCTGTAGCTGTTGAGGTCCTTTGGGTGCGGGGTCTTTGGCACTAGTACCACACAGGATGTTTTCCACAGCTGTGGCACTCTCCCCAGCTTCAGGCTCAGGTTGAAGACGCGCTCCACTATCTCACACAGCTGGTCTGAACAGGTCTTGAGAAGCCTTGAGCTGAAGCCATCCGGACCCACGGCCTTCCTCATGCTGCTCTTTTTCAGTTCTTACTTCACCTGGGTTATTGTGAGGGACATGTTGGGGGGTGGGGCCTGTGTGCTGGAGGTTGGTTGTGGGGGATGGAAGTGCAGTGTATGTGGAGGGTGGAAGGGAGCTGAATGTTGTGGGAGGGCATTATACAGGGGGAGCAGCAGCAGGGAGGACTGGCTAGGGGGAGGGGAGGATGACTGATCAGATCTGTTGAAGAATGGGTTCAGATCATTCACCCACTTTTGGTCCCCACAGGCTGGGAGTTGGGTTCCTTGTGGCCAGACATGGTTTTAAGGCCCTTCCAGACACCGCTGCTGTTCTTCTGCTGCAACTGATCCTCCATTTTTATTCTACATCTGTTTTTCCCCTTCCCTGATCCTCCTCCTCAGCTCCCCCCTCCTTGTTACCTGACCTAAATGCCCCCTTCTTTTCCTTGAGGGCCTTTATCTCAGGAGTAATCCAGGGTTTGCTGTTGGAAAAACACCGTACAGTCCTGGTGGGTACGGCGTTCTCCACACAGAAGTTAATATAGTCTGTTATACAGTGTGTGAGACGGTCCTCCCTATGGGCTTCACTGAAAACTCCCCACATGGCTGAGTGAAGACAGTCCTTCAGAGCCTCATCCGCCTCCTCAGACCACTATTTGACTCTGCGAGTGACTGCTGGATGTCTGTGCATGAGGTTTGTACACAGGCAGGAGGTGCACCAGGTTGTGGTCAGATCTTCCCGGGAGAGGTGATGAGGTGTATGCCTCCTTGGTTTTGGCATAAAATAGATCCAGTTTTGTATTGTCTCCGGTGTGGCATGTAACATATTGGAAGAATGTGGAGTGGAGGACGGAGGGTCATGATTAAAGTCACCAGAGATAAGGAGTGCATCCGAGTGTTGTGTCTGCAGCCTGCTTGTTGCTGAGTGGATGACGTCACAGGCTACTACCTCAGGCCGGTTACTTTTAAGAAGCTTCACATGTAAATTGACCCATTCCTTCAATGTGTTGTCATTTGTCCCCCAAATGTTCCCATTTTGTTTAAGCAGTGTTTTTGCTTTAACCTTGTGATATTAATGCCCCTTTTTTTAAATGGCAGACATGTGATTTTGACTGGACACTGCACTGAGTGATGTGATGCACCGAGCTCATGATAGTTGTGTGTTTTGTCCAGGTTCTACCTCGGAGGTCCCACCAGTGTGCGAGGGTTTGGGATGTACAGCATCGGGCCGCAGAGTGAAGGTACAAAGCTGGTCAGACGGTCGGTCATGAAAAACTTGACCTGACGAAATTGCTTTGGAATGTTAGTTGTATTTGAAATATGGATTTTGGAGAAATGACCATTCATTCATCGTCAATTGTAAAAAGGGAGCATCCCGCTCACTGTCCCAGACTATAAAACAAAGACAAGCAGCTCTTGCAAAAAGAGAACATCTTATCAAACCTGGTGACACAGTGGGTAAAGGGACAGTCTGATGTTTAGAAGTGGGGTTGTATGAGGTGCTTCTCCATAGTCAGTGTATTACTACAGTAGATGGAGTTTGGAGAAACAGACAGGTAGCAGCAAAGCAAGGTACTGCTCTGGATGTATTATAGAAACATAAAATAATCAATATCAGTTCAAGTGTATGTTGTATTTAGAATATTTTCACCTCTTTACCTTGCTGTCAGACAGACCTTTCTAACGGGGAACTGAAGCCGTTATCTCTGCTCTCTTCATCGGCACCAGACTCCTTTGACAAAAACAGTAATTTCACCTCACAGAACACAGGAGTTGTTTGTCTACTGCTGCATGGATCGGTTAGTTTGTTTGTGTCTTTAGTGTTTTAAAGGGTTATTTCGGATTCACCAAAATCCCACAACACAAAGCAACTAACCAATCGAGGCGGCAGTAGTCCAGCAACTCCCGTGTTCTGTGAGGTAAAATTGCTGTTTCTGTAAAAGGAGAATTGTGGCTTTGAAGAGGGCATCGATAACGGCTTCATTTCCCCGTCAGAAACGTCTGTCTGACAGCCCTACTAAAAACTTCAGAACTATCCCCTGAAGAATACCATGTAACCGCAAACCCAGGTTTGATTCCAGCTGGAATCATTTGTTGCACGTCATATCAGTCGCTCCATAAAAGAAGAAGCAAGTAAATAAGGAGCTGCAGCTGAATTTACTATGAATGAAGTAGTGTAGTACAGCAACTTATCTTGGTTTAACGCTCACTCTGTGTGCTCCAGGTGACTATCTGGGTGGAGAGGCGTACTGGGCCGGCGGTCTCCACCTCTATACTCCGCTGCCCTTCAGACCGGGCAAGGGCGGCTTCGGAGACCTTTTCAGAACTCACTTCTTCCTTAACGCGGGCAACCTCTGCAACCTCAACTATGGTGGGTGGACTGAAAACGGCCCTAGATGCATTCAGGACCGGCCACAACAGCTGACTGAACGGCAGACTTCTCCCTTTTATAATTCTGAGCCATCAAATAGAAATGGTAAATGATTTCAGTGCGTCACCACGTCCCAGGTGGGCTTTGACATGTGGAGTGTTATGTGTGCAGGCGACGGTCCCCGGGCGCACCTTCAGAAGCTGGCTGAATGTATCCGCTGGTCGTACGGAGCGGGCATCGTGCTGCGGCTCGGCAACATCGCCAGACTGGAGCTCAACTACTGTGTTCCCATGGGAGTCCAGAGCGGAGACAGGTAGACCAGCGCTCACTGACGGGACCAAGGGTCACCATGTTATTGTTGTTAGAGGAAAGAAGATTAGGGTGAACTAGTTTTCACTCAGATTATCCATCAAACAGTTACAAATTTCATCTCACCATTGTGTGCCTGCCTGCCTGCCTGCCTGCCTGCCTGCGTGCGTGTGAGAAATACAAACAAACATTTACTGGGAAGCAGCCTCGTCTTTGTTGCAGCTCATGGTAAACATGTTCTTAAAGGGGAACTGCACCAATGTTACACAAAGTGTGAAATTGCATATGTTTAAAAAAAAAAAGGTGTATCAAGCTTTCTGAAGTCTGATAAACATCCTCAAGGGATGTCACTTAAAGGAACAGTATTTAACATTTGGAGGGAATTATTAGCAGAGATAGAATATAATATTCATAACTATGTTTTCATTAGTGTGTAATCACCGTGAAACTAGGGATTATTGTGGTTTCGTTAGCTTCGACTGAGCCCTTCATATCTACAGAGGGAGCAGGTCCTCTTCACAGAGTCCACCGTGTTGCACCACCATGATTCTACGGTATCCCAGAATGGACAAATCAAACACTGGCTCTAGAGAGAGACTTTCACCTTTTTTTTAAGTTACCTGAAGACCACCATAGTTTTGACACACTCGGAAAGGGAGGGGTGAGCGGAGGGGTATTAAGTCGAATGCAATCTGCAACCTCACCACTAGATGCCACTAAATGTTACACACTGTTCCTTTAAATCAGTGACGGTTGGGTCTGAAATCACAAGAGTGAAAATGTAAAAAAAAATACTGAGGTGTGGAGTTGGAAAGAAGCAAGTTTACCAGACTTCTGCAGCCCACTCCTTATCTCTCCTTCAGGCTACATTAGCTGTAACTAGTGTCACACACCTGACTCTCAGGCCAAGCTGTGGGTAGTTGAGGTGCGTGTGGGTAATGTATGCACCAGGTATTGACAGGAAGGAAGACTGCGTTGAATGACAAAATATATATTTCTGGTTCTGCTGCATTGATTGTGAGTGCTCCTTTCAATTAATAAATTGTAACTATGCTACACAAAGCACAGTGTGATAAAAGGACTTGTCTCAGGATAACGGTCCTCACTTCTCTCTCCTCTCGTAGGATATGTGACGGTGTCCAGTTCGGAGCAGGGATTCGCTTCCTGTGACCTTATCACTCCACTGCCCTCGATGCTCCAGCAGAGGCTGCGACATGAGAAAGGGCCTTGTTGTTTGTCACCTGTAACTTGTTGTAGAGTGTGTAACACTAGCATGGGTCCCTTGTCCTGGAGAGACGTGCCTGAGACCCCCCCAAACCTATTGACATGCACTGGTCGAGGCTTTTGAACAACAAAGTGCCAGCGCTGGGCCATAAAACTAGCGAAACTTTTGTGCAGTACAAACGGTTTGGTTTAAATTTTTCAGCGCTGGTACCTTGTCTGTGTGGGGAAAAAAGTCATCTATCGGTGATTTCACCCACTGTGTTTCCTGGGGTGACACAAAATAAATTATTTTCCAGAATGTTAAAGAGATTTCGGGCATGTTCCCTGTTTGCCTTCCAGGAAAGCTTCTGATCTAGGAGAACGACTTGTTAGTGATTTACTTTTGACACCACGCACTCCCTTGTCGTGATGGGAGGGATCATACCGATAAAGGCACTTTTTAATCAAAGCAGTGGTGTCGGAAGGGAATCCAAACCTTCATGCCAAAGCAGTTGTCTGATGTGAAGAACGGCGGGTCAACCTCTCGAGGTTGGAAACCCCTCCACCCCCACCCACTCTCCTGAGCAACATCCACCACCAGTGCTCTTACCGTTGGTCCTCTTTTTTTTGATGTTGTTGAAGCTATTCACGAATAAATCCCAGCTGCTCCCCTGGTTTGTCTTTGTGCTTTCTCAAATACACATTCACTAATCAGGTGGGAAGGACAAAATGCAGGTATCACATCTGGATCTTCATGTTGTGCTTCATTCGTTACTGCTCATTGTTTCTTGCCTTTTAAAGTCAAGAATATTTCATTATCAAGGCCATTTTAGGACTGACCTTGATGAGTTACATGACAGAGTTAAGAACTTTATTTTGTAGCAGTCGGGGACATCAGCAAAGCAGTTTTGCAATCAGACAGTAGCCTTGTAATTAGATTTATGAATAGTTGAATTACTTTTATGGGATAAAGGGACGTCCAATCTGTGGAATACATGCAACAGTGTTTGCCGAGCAGTTATTGGGTCTACAGGAAACCGTCTAACCCGAAGGAAACATCTCTCCAGCTGACACGTCGGTGAGTGGGGGTCACTGCCCGGCCTCCTCACGGGTTTTGCCTTGACCGTTTTGAACCTTTGCTCCTCAGGAACCTGTGCAGGGCAGTTGAATGTGGATGGTGCCAGATGTTTGTTTGATCAGAGCTTGTTCTGCGTGGGAGTGTTGGCAGGTGTGCAGCAGGTGACTGCTGGCATGGCATGTTGCTGAAACTGGAATAAAATGACCTCGGTTTATCTTTACCCTGGAGAAAGTGTTGGTGGTGCAGAAGAACACCTTGTAAACCTTTTTCAGTATAGCATCTGAGCTCAAGTCAACCATTGATCTTTAGAAATGCAAAATAAAGAATGATGCTACCATGCCAGCATACTTTGTCTCTTACATTGGAGAAAACATGATGCAGTGCCATATATGCTGCCCTACAGGCTAGAAAACCTTTTGTGCACTGTTGCACCAGCGTGTGCAGCTCGCACCCCTTTTTGTTTTTCACCCCTTAACTTTGTACATTGAGTATGATAATTAGTTTATAACCTCTTACCCACAAGGCTTTAGTTTGTTTTTTCACTGGCCATCAAATAATATGGAGCCAAATCCAGGCCAATAGTTTTGATCATTTGAAAAAAAAATTTGAACCTGAAAGTTCAAGTTGTTGAACATTGAAAAATACAGCAATGTATTGAAAATAAAAATAAGTGAATGAAAAGTTTTTTGGGATTGAATATAATTTTGATTCAGTTCTGGAATTGTTTTGAATCAAATATTTATTTTCATTTTTCACTTTCATATATACTTTAAACATGGCTTTACAACACATGAAATACTTCACGTGGGATTGTGCAAACGCACCCTTGAAAGGATTTTAAGCATTGAACAAAGTTATTGTAATAACTTGTTTGATATTTGTCTTTGCTATTTTCTTTAATAGTTTGCATTTGATTATTGTTTAATCAAGTGTTAAAACATTGTACATGGTTATATAAATGTTAAAATATATTTAAGCACATTTCTGTTATAACTTAAATCCTTTTAATTTAGGGTTAAGAAACCCACATTACTCTATCAAAGATCAGAGACAGATATTTACCAATATGTTAGGAGAAGTTACATTTACACAGACTTATATTTACATGAATAATTAAGCCTTGCTTAAGATGCTTCTGTCTTGCTTATGATGTTTTATATTAATGATATAATCTACTTTTATATATTTTTCAAGTTAAATACGTCTTTTTTAATGTCAAGCCTACTTAAAAAGGATTTAATCACATATTAAGTTAATTTGCTTGTTCAAGTAAAATAATCTAGCCAACAATATGAACACATAACCAATACTTAAATCAATTTGTTTGTGTTTTGGCAGTATCATATATCAACCACCGCTACAGTCAGCACGGCCTTGACGATGGTTCTAAATTCCCACGCGTGACCGCCCGGTCGTAGCGGTAATAAGCAAGCGCCGCGTGACCGCGCACGCACGGTACCAAGCAGCACGTAGTCGGTGTCTGCTGCCGCTGTCGAGTATAAGCTGGCTGTCGCGAGCCGAACCTCTGCCACTCCTCTGACTCACACAGTCACACGCATAGAGGCAGGTGTGTGTGGGTGTGTGGGTGCGCGCGTGTGTGTCTAGCAGCGCACATACCTCAGCAGCAGGTCGGACAAATCCTGCAGCATTTTGGATTCATTTTTTAAAATATATATTCAAAACACCGCCATCATGTTGTGGACGGCGAGTCAAGTCTTAAGGAGATTCTCCACCTCATCCGTGAGTAACGTTTCTTTTGCCGCACCAGAGAATGAATAGAGCTTTTGATAGATAAAGAAACTAAAATAATGTTAATAATGAACGCATGCCAGGTCGGCTGTGACATGAGGACTGAACCGGGCTCGACCCTGATTACGGATCAATGAGTCACAGTTCATGTCGAGGTCTTCACGGGTCACCCTGCGACTGTATTTTTCAATAAATTGCAAATGAATTAGAGAATGAATAGAGGTGGTGTTACACCACCTATAGTGAATAGGTGGTGTAACAGTGCCAGTTTGCCACGTTACTGCCGGCCGGCTCGCCCACATCTATCTCCGCCCCTCTCTCCCGGTAGCTACTGTACACGATGTGCAGGAGTTGCATCAGCATGTGAGCTCCACACTGTACACCGTCAGTCAGCAGCTTAGTGACGAGCCGGCAGGGCTGCACGGGAGAGTGGGACGTTGACAATTCATTCGTTGTTAACGGGGCACTGTCATTTCCCAGCAGCGTGTCGTTTGCTCCCTTGCTTGGAATACGTGGCTTGAATGCATCACGAAGCACGTGCTGAGATGTAATATAACAGTTCGGGGCGGCGCCTCGACCGGCTCGACACTTGACAGGACCGTTCAGATGAGCGGGGGGAACCCGAAACGTCCCTCCGTGAACACATGTGCTGTTTCAGGCAGGTGGGAGGGGTGCGATTCAATCTTCCCCCTCTGGATCGGGGCTGTGCTCTCTGTCAGCCAATAGCTTTTCTCAGAGCCGACTGTAACCGAAGAATGAATGGGGAGAGGGGGGGGGGGGTTGCATAATCCCACCCCTTGCTATTTTCAGTTCATGCTTTTTTACAATCCAATCAATTATTTTGGGAATTGGTTAGTTATTATTAGTCAAGCATATGAACATTTCACGGCTTGCATTTTGGCTTTTTTTTTCTTATTATTTCAATCAACATAAGAATTTAATAACTTTGGGTCTTGGACAGTTGGTCAGATACAAGACTTCTGAAGACGTATTTTGTAGACCAAACAAATAAAAAAGTACGAGGACTTTTAATTGCCAAACATCGGATGTGTAGTTTATGGCACGATTCAAACAAGATTAAACTTTTTTTTTAAATAAGACCCCATGGGCAACACTGTTAGGTGTGTGGGGGGGGGGGGGGGACTTGGTCTCTCTATATGGGACTAAAAGTCAGGTTATCTTCTGATAGCATACAGGATTTATTCTTTAAAAATATTGTCTATTGCAAGTTCCCCAACTTTATGTTAGTGTCCCTTTTAAGAGATGTGTCTTGTGGGCTCTTCTGGCCCCCCTGGTGCTCAAGGCACTTTCCTGCAGTTGCCTGCTGCAGAGGCCACCTTTGCATTGGGTTTTCCTTTGCCAGTGTCACAACATCTGCAGAACTCACAAGCTCAGAGAGAGTGTGTATAAACCCAGACGAGTATTTCCAGTACTGCAGATCTACACTGGCTAAAGCCGAAACTAACGTGTCTGTGTTTGCTCTCCTTTCAGAATTCCTACCAGAATAAGCTTAAGCTCGCAATAATAGGCCAGAGCCTGTTCGGCCAGGAGGTGTACAGCAACCTGAGGAAGCAGGGTCACAAGGTGGTGGGCGTGTTCACGGTCCCTGACAAGGACGGCAAGGCCGACCCCCTTGGTGAGTTACCTCGGTTGGTGTCAATCCACCTCTAGTCGCACTAAATAAATCAGAGAAACTGTGGTGCTTTCTAGGGAATTTGAAAACCCAAAGCAACTGCAGGAAAGAAGATAAAAATACCAGGTTTTATGAGTAGAGAGAGAATAAATGTTGGCGTCTTACAGCCAACAGTGTGGAACAAACTGCAGTCTGGACTCTGGCCATCTCTGGTCCTGTCTAAGTCCATCGCGTCTTTACTTCCCCCGCTGCACAGACATTCGGCTCGTTCGAGATGAGCCAGGCCTGAGCCGAATCAATCACCGGTGATCGCCGCTCAATGCATGCTGGGTAGATTTGTGTCCGACTTGATCCCGACTTGCTCTGACGTCATGAACACGTGGTCGACGATAACCTCACGAGAGCGAGGCGGCCGCAGTTTTTAGAGTCAGGCGCCGCAGTTGCTCTCCACCAACTGGATGACCCAAAGCATGATGGGAAACGCCTGGCTGTCTCCGGATCAGAGAGCTGATTGGCTCTTAGATTTGACAACAAACAACACGTTTTGTAGAAAATCCTAATTTTCTGTGTAATTCCAATACTTGACACTAGATTGTTGGCTGTTAGTCTCATGTTGTGAAAGGTTTAATCCAAAAACACATCTCGTGTGATTGATAATAAAGCTTATTTATAGAAAACCTATCAAAGCGAGCAGCAAAGTGTTTCACAGTCAGACATAAAAAGAACAAAGGATAGCATACACTGCAGATACACGCACATTTCCTCATAAATATATATTTACAAACACACATGAATTAAACCTCACGAGGTCTGTAAACTACAGGAGCTAGTTGCAAGTTTACAGTGACTTAGACCTTGTCACGACTGGTAGACCCACATGGAGAAACAGGACCCGAAAGCACGACCCAGAGAGCAGGGTTAGGTGTAGTAAAGAAAATAAGGCAGAGATCAGAAAAAAGTAACAGCTTTGGGCGGAGGCTGAAATGTGTCCATGATATCACAGAGTGTCAAAAACTGCAAGCACAGAAAGACTTTGAATGATTCAAGTCTTTAACCAAAGTTCTGAGTATTTTGTTTCGATAAAGTAGCGTTTGACAACGTTGGCTTCTTTAGTTAAAGCAGTCAGCATTCATATATTTTTATTTGGGCCTCTTAGGGGAAATAACGTTGACTATTACCCTCTTATTAAGTTGATGTTCGTAAGGTGTTATAATATAAAATAACACTTATAATTAGATAACGAGAAATAACAAAAAAAATCCAACAGAGTAAAAGCTTTGTAATGGGTTGGTGCAAAAACCATAAGACCGAGAATCTTGGATCTGACGGCCCCTGATGGTCCGGGTCCCCTATGGGTCATCACAGGCCCTGTGCTGTGGCTGAGGTGGATGCTCCTGGATAGTGGCTCCATTGTCTGTGTGTGTGTGTGTGTGTGTGTGTGGAGAGAGGCCCTGTGTGGCCCCTCGAGACGCAGCGCTGAGGGGAAACATCTACGATCTGGACCGTGTATGATGCAATCTTTCCAGGAAGCAGCATTCCCCGTCAGCTATCAGCTGCCTCTTGCCTAACCCTGCCTGTCGTCCTCCTTTATTCTCCAGGATATTATATATTATTCTACTATTTCCGGTTCTGAACACATTCCTGCCTCCTCAACAACAAGTGGAGGGAGGTCAATACTCTATATTCAAAATGCACATTTAGCGTTTATTTAAGATTCTTGCAATGTAGGCAGTTAGTATCCACAGTACGCTCAGGGAAGTTTATTCTTTAGCACATAAACTGTCTATTGATAGTCTCCATTCATAGCTCACATTTCAGAGTTCCAGAAAAGGTCCTTACCTAGAAATACATTGAAAGTTCGAGCAATTATATAACGATTGAAATGAGCTCAAGTATGGGCTAGAGCTAGACCAGTAAGTCAGTTGGGCTGATATTTTGTTTCACATTAGCTTATTATTTAAAATATGTACAAATGTTGCAGCACAGCAATACCAAAGACATTTTAGGTTATTTAGAAGCAGTGTCTCCATTACAATTGATGCAATGTAGTGGATATTATGGTCACCATTCTTTAATAACCCAATGTGAGGTTTCCTTTACTAAAAGTGTTTATGTCAATTTAAATATCAACCCATCTTTATTAGAATTGTTTAACCTCTCAAGTATTATTATTGGCCTCATAAACCCAGTATCTCTTCTAAGAAGGTAGGAAATCAATTTAAAATCTGGGTTAACGGGTTTGTATTTTTCAACCTTGACCCAGTTTCCCATGTTTTTTGTGCAAGTAACTAATCGGTAAAATATACAATTGTTTTATTGGTCCAGTATTGAGTGAGAAAGCTGCAATGTGATTGCTCAGGGCAACTCCTCACCGTCAATGTATGTCCACTAAAAGAGCTGACAGGCTCAGATTATTATTATAAGTGTCTGACATCATTATGGAATGAACCCTACAGAGAAATAAAACCTTTTTCTTTACCTTTCACTTGATCCGGTCTGATTGTTATCGTGTCTAATCCAGTCCCGCTCAAGGAGAAGTCTTGTTCGGAAATATATCGCGAGAGGATTACGAGGTTGCCGAAAGACAGCAGTGAGTGAGAGTTTAAGAGAGTGCAGAAACCTTAGCTTAGTGTAGTCTAACAGATTTTCAATGTCATGGCTTAATATTTATCTGATTTCGACAATGTGCATAAGGCCGTGAGATTTCAGAACGAGACTTCTCCTTGAGCGAGACTGCAGCGCTCTCGGCATAGACTGTACATGTATATAAGAAGTGGACTTAATCGTCGCAATGTCACTCATTGGTTTAAGTACTGCCATTATTGAAATTTTACCGTCGCCGTCTTGATTTTTTGCAACCAATGAAAAGACGTTACCATATTTGGAATGCAGAGGAGTGACGTAAAGAAGCCGTATATGGCTCTGGTAGCGGTAGAGACCTGTCATTCACAGTTGCCCCGCCCCTAAAGCATACCCTGCTTTATGGTCTGTTTGACTCTAAATGGACCATAATGTACTAAATGAACATCATGCTGTATTGAAGAAGACTTGAAACTAGAGACTGAGACCATAAACTCATGTTTACAATGTTTACTGAGGTAATAAATCAAGAGAGAAGTAGAGTCATTTCCTCATATACTTCGATACAATCGGATATTCTTTTTGCAACCGGGGAGTTGCCCCCTGATGGTCCGCATCGGCTTCACTTGTCAGAACCGGAGGTTGCCGCCTGGCTTTCACTCGATACTGGACCAACCATAGAAACATTGTTGTCCCCATTAGTCACCTAGAAACAAAAACATGGCAAAAAAAGGGTCCAACCATGAACCCCAACTTCTCCGATCCACTTAATTTCTGCTTTCTAAACAGTATCAGTAAACTCACCTCTTCTCTTTCAGCGGCGGCGGCGGAGAAGGACGGGACGCCGGTGTTCAAGTTCTCGCGGTGGCGGCTCAAGGGGAAGCCCATCACGGAGGTTATGGAAGCCTACAAGGCGGTGGGTGCCGAGCTCAACGTCATGCCCTTCTGCTCCCAGTTCATCCCCATGAACGTCATCGATGACCCCAAGCACGGCTCCATCATCTACCACCCCTCCATCCTGCCCCTGCACAGAGGAGCTTCGGCCATCAACTGGTGAGGAGGAGGGGAGGGAGGGAATCCACAGACTTTATGTATTAAGTGACGACTGCAGAGGACAGCCTGTGTGAGAGACACCTGTAGAAGTCCATCAAGGAGACGTACTTTGTTCATTTTGTGTGGTAATGGCAGCACATTAACAGAATGAATGACCGTTTTATTATTGTGTCATGCGTATCGCTGTGGACAGCCCACATCTGCTTACAAGACACCTTAAATCCTAGAAGTGCAACGGATCACAAAACTCACGGTTCGGACCGTACCACGTTTTTTGAGTCACGGATCGAATAATTTTTCGGATCAGCAAGGAAAAGGGGAGGAGACAAATATAACTTTGCGTTCCATTTATTAATTAAAGAACTTCAAGAACACTTAAAGCAAAAAACTTTGGGCTATAGTCTTACACAAAAACAAATGCCGCGGTGATACCTTGTTGTTGTGGTGGTGGCTTGGCCCCCGTCGCTGACAGACTGGGATCGTGGCACTTCATATGTGTGGACATGCCCGATATAGGGCCGTTGTCTTATGTCTTTCTGGTTGAACAATGCCTACATACCGTAACGGTTTTGTCCACCACCCTCATCCCGTCATTATAAGTTACAGGGAAGTCAAAATGCTCCCATACATGCAACTTAAATGACGTCGGGGGTTTGCATATGTGTCTGACCACAATACCTTTTGTTGTTCAGTCTTTGTTCATCCTGCATCGCTCTTTTCTGTTCTTTAATGTAACGTTACTGGAGCGACAGAGCCTCTCCCAGCTGTTAGCAGACTGTTGTTAGCGAGCTGTACCCAGCATGCAGTTCAGTGGTGACATTTTATAAATGTACAATTATTTGTGTTACAAATTGTTTATGTGTCACAAACTGTTGTGTCGTGGTGTTTTGCCCTGTTAAAGAGCGTTAGTTGTGGGTTGTTAATTGTTGTTATAAAGTTATAACCATGATTAGGGTTCCCTCTCAATACAGTTAAGATAACTAGCTCCAACCGCAGCTCTCACAGTGGTGAACAATATATTTCGCTGCCTGTTGAAGAGCGACAGAAGTTGTTTCAGGTGTGCATCATACGGGAAATTATAACCAGTATACTGCCCAGCCCTAGCAGCCACCATGCACCACATAAGAGAATTGTTACCCAAACATTCTTTACCACTGCCAAACTGTGCTAGCGTACATCAATCAAACAAGCCTTGATATGTCACATTCCATACAGGTTCATACACGTTAGTGCTGGTTCATATGCTGCAATACGTGCAATGTCACAATGGGAGATAAATGAACACAAAAAGTAAAAACGGATATCAGATTAAAATGTGAATGAAATTATGAAAGAAAAAAAACAATTAAAGGCCAAATAACACATTTTATTCTCATACAAATGAAATGTTTAATTTATTAGCTTTGTTGGCTAATTTGAGCTAACTTTGGATAGATATTGTGTTAGGTAATTGTAACTTGTATCACTGAGTAAATATGTTGGCTGTAGGACTCTTCTCTACTTCTCCACTAACTACATTTTCGGCTGTAACCATCACCACACAAGCTAGCTTCCTCTACAGTTCTTTTCTTCACAACAGCTAAAAGGCTAAAAAAGCATAGTTCACAGGCCCTAAGTCCCCTCTGTGTTCCAGGACAGAGAGGAGGTAGAGGAGGGTTTGTGCTATCTGTCTGTGTAGCTGGAGGTTGAAACCAGTTCTGTTTGACCCCAAACTCCGAACAAGCTGGTTTTGTTACCGCTCCCTCTTGCAAGTCGGTTTGTTCTCCGCCCTTACTATCACTCTGTTCCTGTATCACTCTGGGTAAATAAATAAGTTCCGCTATCTTTCAATCGTTTAAACACAACTTTTCCATTTATGCCACATATACCACTGTTTGGCAGTGGTGATATTACTACCAGCTGCTAAAAAAAAAAGTAATTTAAGTCTAATAGTTTGACATTTTGGGAAATGTACTTTTTTCTTTACCAGAGTGAGACGATATTTCAATTTTTGTACGAATTAGACAAATGAGATAACAACTTGTTAGATAATGAGCTTTAAATGTGCTGGTAGGTGGGTATGTTTTTTTGTTTTGGACAGAGAAAGGCCCTGCTTCAAGTATTCATGCTAAGCTAGGCTAATCATCCAATATCTTAAATTGGCTCTTAATTTAACGGACAGACATGAGAGTAATGTTGATCTAATCATAACTCTTGGCAAGAAAGTGAATGAGCATACACCAAACTATTCCTTTTAGGTGTAACATGTTCATTTAAGCTGCAGACTGTTAGCCTCCCAAAGATCAACTACATCTCATTGAACATTAGAGAGTTTAACTGTAGAGTAGTCTCAGTTTTTTAAAAAGTGCACTTAGAATAGTGCAAATCTCTGCCACGTGTGTCTGCAACGACCACTGCTGTAATGTTTTATTAATTAATGCAAACCACAATTGTTCACCGAAAGCGTATCAGTACGCATCATGTTTGCAGCTAAACTGCAGTTCACTGTGTAATGCTTCATATTGACTGTTTAACACTTCCTCTGAACTGAAACTGTTAGTCCTGCTGTGTGTTTAGTTTCATTAGCTGTTAGCTCGGTTAGCCAAACGCACAGCAGGACTCTGTTAACTGTCCGGTGGTTGCTAACAGCTTACTGGCTCCCCTGCTTCCACCATAAGAATATGCTCTCCATTGTACTCGGCGCTTGGTTCAGTGAGTCAGTTTTGCTAAGCGATAGTTTAATAGCCGTCCAAACTGAAGCTGTTATTGATCACTTGAGTAGTGAGGAGTCAGCAGCCAGTGACGGTATAAAACAGTCAATAAAATATGTCTTTCAAAAAGTGTAAATCACTGCAAACACGAGAGTCATAAATGAGCACAAAAAACATGTTTAATTAAAGGCTCCATTAATCCACTTTCTAAACTTTATTCATTTCACGGACGTGACGGGCCTGGAGCTTATCCCAACATGCATTGGGTGAGAGGCGGGTGCACCCTGGACAGCTCACTTATCTGTAACAGGGCTAACACCATTTACAGGCTCTGGAAAAACTAATATATTCTAAACTAACTTGCCATGAGCCTTAAGAAAATGTGTGAATATATTAAATTGCCCAGTGAGAACCGACGGCAGACGGCTTGTTTGTTTCACAGTCCTATCAACAGTCTGCTCCTCCGCGAATCGCCACCTTAACGTGGTGGAGGAGTTTGAGTGGCTCAGTGATCCTGGGAGCTATGTTGTCCGGGGCATTAGCCCCTGGTAGGGTCTCCCAAGGCAAACAGGTCTCGGGGGAGAGCCCAGACTAAGAGCGGTTCAAACGACCCTAATGATAAGCAGCCCACGGACTTTAGCCACCTCGCCCAGACCAGGGAAACCGGGGCACCCTCCCGGAGCCAGACCCAGGAGGGGAGCTCTTCGGCGAGCGTCTGGTGGCCGGGCCTTCGCCCATGGGGCCCGGTCGGGCTCAGCCCGAATAAACAGCATGGAACAGCCACCCTGTGGACCCACCACCCGCAGAGATAAGCATCGGGGTCGGGTGCAATGCAGACCGGGCAGCGGGTCAGGCGGGAGGCCTGGGCGAGCCGATCGCCGGCAGCATAGACTAGCTCTAGGGACGTGGAACGTCACCTCGCTAGCGGGGAAAGAGCCAGAGCTGGTGCAGGAGGTGGAGCGATACCAGCTAGATATAGTTGGACTCACCTCCACACACAGCGCTGGCTCTGGAACCAAGCTCCTGGAGAGAGGTTGGACTTTGTCCTTTTCCGGAGTTGCCCAGGGTGAGAGGCGCCGGGCGGGAGTGGGGATACTCACGAGCCCCCGGCTGAGCGCCGCTGTGTTGGAGTTCTCCCCGGAGAACGAGAGGGTCGCCTCCATGCGCCTACGGGTTGCGGGGAGCAAGGCTCTGACTGTGGTTTGTGCTTACGCACCAAACAGCAGTTCAGAGTATCCGGCCTTCTTGGAGTCGGTGGGAGGGGTCCTGGAAAGGGCGCCACCTACCGACTCCATAGTTCTCCTGGGGGACTTCAATGCTCACGTGGGCAATGATGGAGAAACCTGGCGGGGGGTGATTGGGAGGAACGGCTTGCCCGATCTGAACCCGAATGGTGTCTCGTTATTGGACTTCTGTGCTTGCCACGGTTTGGCCATAACGAACACCATGTTCGAACATAAGGTGGCTCATAAGTGTACCTGGTACAGGGGAACCGGTTGGAAAGACCCGGCAAGCCCAAACGTGTAGTGAGGGTGAACTGGGAACATCTGGCGGAGGACCCTGTCCGGGAGGTCTTTAACTCCCACCTCCGGAAGAACTTCTCTCACATCCTGAGGGAGGTTGGGGACATGGAATCCGAATGGACCATGTTCAAAGCCTCTATTGTGGACGCGGCCGCTAGGAGCTGTGGCTAGAAGGTCATCGGTGCCTGTCGTGGCGGCAACCCGAGAACCCGGTGGTGGACACTGGAGGTGAGGGAAGCCGTCAAGCTGAAGAAGAAGACCTTCAAGGCCTGGTTGGCCCAGGGGTCTCCCGAAGCAGCTGACAGGTACCGGCAGGCCAGAAGGGCTGCAGCTGCGGTGGTCGCGAATACTAAAACTCGGGCATGGGAGGAGTTTGGGGAGGCCATGGAGAAGGACTTTCGGTTGGCCTCAAGGAGGTTCTGGCAAACCATCCGACGACTCAGGAAGGGAAAGCAGGGCTTACCCCAGGCTGTTCTCAGCAGGGGGGGACTGCTGACCCGGACAGTGGAAAGAGCGCTTTGAGGAACTCCTAAACCCGACCAACATGTCCTCTGCAGAGGAGGCAGCGCCTGAAGATCTAGGGGGAGGCTCACCCATATCCCTTGGTGGCAAGGCGCCGGGGGTGGATGAGATCCGCCCTGAGATGCTGAAAGCGCTGGACATGGTTGGGCTGTCCTGGCTGACACGCCTCTTCAATGTCGCATGGGGGTCGGGATCAGTGCCCATGGACTGGCAGACCGGGGTGGTGGTTCCCATTTTCAAAAAGGGGGACCGGAGAGTGTGCTCGAATTACCGGGGTGTCACACTACTCAGCCTCCCGGGGAAGGCTTATGCCAGGGTGCTGGAAAGGAGGCTCCGACCGTTTGTCGAACCTCAGATACAAGAGGAGCAATGCGGATTCCGTCCCAGCCGTGGAACAGTGGACCAGCTCTTTACCCTCGCAAGACTACTGGAGGGGTTCTGGGAGTTTGCCCAACCAGTCTACATGTGCTTTGTGGACTTGGAGAAGGCTTTCGACCGGGTCCCTCGGGGGTTCTTGTGGGGGGTGCTGCGGGAGTATGGGGTGCCGGACCCATTACAACGGGCGATCCGGTCTCTGTACGACTGCAGTAGGAGCTGTGTCCGCATTCTCGGCAATAAGTCAGACACGTTCCCGGTGGGTGTTGGCCTCCGCCAGGGCTGCCCTTTGTCTCCGGTCCTGTTCGTGACTTTCATGGACAGGATATCTAGGCGCAGCCTGGGGGTGGAGAACGTCAGGTTCGGGGGTCTCGGGATCGCCTCTCTGCTGTTTGCAGATGATGTGGTCCTGTTAGCCTCCTCGGATCGTGACCTCCAGCATTCACTGGGGCGGTTTGCAGCAGAGTGTGAAGCGGCGGGGATGAGAGTTAGCACCTCCAAATCTGAGGCCATGGTGCTCTGCCGGAAACCTGTGGATTGCTCCCTCCAGGTGGGGACGGAGTGCCTACCTCAAGCGAAGGAGTTCAAGTATCTTGGGGTCTTGTTCACGAGTGAGGGTAAGATGGAGCGGGAGATCAACAGACGGATCGGTGCGGCTGCAGCAGTAAAGCAGGCGCTGCACCGGACCGTCTTGGTGAAGAGGGAGCTGAGCCGGAAGGCAAAGCTCTCAATTTACCACTCGGTCTACGTTCCTACCCTCACCTATGGTCACGAACTCTGGGTCGAGACCGAAAGGACAAGGTCGCGGTTACAAGCGGCCGAAATGAGCTTCCTCCGTAGGGTGGCCGGGCTCAGCCTTAGAGATAGGGTAAGGAGCTCGGTCATCAGGAGGGAGCTTGGAGTCGAGCCGCTACTCCTTCGCGTCGAAAGGAGTCAGCTGAGGTGGTTCGGGCATCTAATTAGGATGCCTCCTGGACGCCTCCCACTGGAGGTTTTCCAGGCACGTCCAACTGGGAAGAGACCCTGGGGAAGACCCAGAACACGCTGGAGGGATTACATCTCCCAGCTGGCCTGGGAACGCCTCGGGATCCCCCAGAATGAGCTGGAACATGTTGCCGGTGAGAGGGAAGTCTGGGTCAGCCTGCTTGGCCTGTTGCCACCGCGACCCGACCCCGGATAAGCGGAGGAAAATGGATGGATGGATGGATCAACAGTCTGACTGCCTCGGTCTCACATAGCTTCTATCTTTTCTTTATCTTATTCTGCTCCATTTGGTCAGGTTTATGGTCCACTTTACATCCTATATCTCAGACTGTTATGGCACCGCTCCAAGATTGGGTTGTTGTTCTGTGTGTCACCAGGACCCTGATCCACGGCGATAAGAAAGCTGGATTCACAGTGTTCTGGGCCGACGACGGCCTGGACACCGGACCCATCCTGCTGCAGAGGGAGTGTGCTGTGGAGCCCAACGACACCGTGGACACCCTCTACAACCGCTTCCTCTTCCCAGAGGGCATCAAGGCTATGGTAACCACCTGGAATTTCAGATTTTTCAGATGAAATATAGAACCCTTTTTTTCAACTTGAATAATCTCTCAACAACATGTTAAAACAAGTTTCTTGGGGCAGGTGGAGTCGGTGCAGCTCATAGCTGACGGGAAGGCCCCTCGGATTCCCCAGACAGAGGAAGGAGCGAGCTACGAGGGCATTCAGAAGAAGTCCAACTCCAAGGTGAGACATCTTACTTCAGACAGTAGCCCCACAGTCGGATACGTGATTTTGATTTGATTTCTTTAAATAGGCCGTTTTCATTCGTTCAGTCTGGAGCACCAGCCTGGCCTTTGCCGGGCAAAAGTGAACCGCCCTACAGGAAATAAATAATGTACACCAAAACATCTGTGACATTTTTTTTTATTCGCAACTTGATTCGCTGTCGCTGCTTTCAATGTTGGCCGGTAAAAAAGACGCTTCTGAATGTGTGAGTGAAATGTGGGGATGGGCTTTCAAAAGCTGGTTCTGTTTCGGATGTGGCTCCACCAGGATTTAATGAGCTAAAACGCTAACAAATCTCTCGTCAAACCTTTTTATCTCTCCTCTCTCTTTTTATTTATTAGCAACGATTGATAGAAAACGTAGAGGTTCTTGTGTTGAGCTGACTGTTAATGCTGCATAAACACAGCTGAAGTGCATCTGGTTTAGACACTGTAGCAAGAATCTGTCAAGGCTGTAAGGGGGGGGGGGGGGGGTAGGAGTGGTAACCGCAAGTCACTCTTTATATAATAAGGGTTTTATTTTATTCTACTGTTTTCTAAATTTTTTCCTTTATTTAGGATCAGATTACAGCAGCAGTTCACGCGTTTATCTTTTACAATAGTTATAGAACACAAAGACATAACAAAAATGTTTTTCATTTGAGTTAAAGAAAAAAAATGAAAGAAATAAATATATTTAAATGAACACTGAATAAATATTTAAATGAAGGACGAGTTAATTTTCCACTTCTGACAAATTTCTTCAAATCTAGTTTCCTGAAGGCTGATGGAGAAGGGGATTGTTTCCATAATAAAGGCTTCATAAATGATATTATCCATTCTTCTATGGATGGGGTGTCTGGATTAAGCCATTTCTTTGTATTAGCATTTTTAATTATTTTGTTCTTCTAATATTTGCGGGTGTTGAATCTAAAAGCCCAAAAATGAATTGTTCCCAGTTCAGTAATTTTAGTCCCATTTATAGTATCTGTTTGAATCTAAAAAGTATTTAACTTTTGGCTGGGCCCCAAACACGTGGAGGTGGTTGGCCTCCTGGGAGCCACAGTTCCTCCAGCAGCCTGCATTCATAGACTTCTGATCAGGTGTGGGCTGAGCTTGATATCCTCCATTGAAAGTTTTTATCATGGAAAAATATCATTCCATTAAATACAAATATCTCCTAAATTCACAGATTTGTATTATATAAATGTAGCCCAACAGTGCCAGGTATGTAAGATTGAGTGGCTGCCTGGTGTTTGTCTCACAAGAGGAAAGACAGAGGCGGGGCTGATCTTAGCTGCTCTCTGATTTGCCACATGGAGCCACGTTTGCTGGCAGGTAATCTAGATGCGCTATTCTTAGTGCAGAAGGTTTTCATTTCCAGCATCGCTTTACCGCATGTTGCTCAGCGAGCGGCGACCAGCTGCTGGGCTTCCCTCTCATTCTCAGAAATGGGGGTGACCCGGTCTTGAAATGAATCCGACCCCTCAGCATGTATCTCTCTGTCCCCGCAGGTCAACCTGGCCCAACCGGCCGGGGCCATCCACGACTGGATCCGCGGCCATGACAAAGTCCCCGGTGCCTGGACCGTCGTTGATGGTCAGGTGCGTTTTCCTGGAACACAAAGCAGCAAAGAAAACACACACTCTGTATGTTGTGAGGTCAGACTGATAGCGGTTTGCAGGGCTGACATAGATCCTGGTATTTTTGGTAGGAGGCGGATGTTCAGTAACTTAAACGTTTTTATCAAGTCCTGGAGGAGTTGAAATTTGGGCTCACATATGTTTCTGGTTTCAAAGAATGGAGTCACTAAACCAGGCATTTAAGCATCTTTTCTTTTTTAACTTTTAATATTATAATAATAATAAAATGTAACATACTTTTCAGAGCACTGACATTTGTTGGTTAACTTTTTTATGCTGATTAAACAAATGCGACACAACGTGTGTATCTGTGAGCTTTAGAGGTGCTGGTAGGTGGATGTCGTTACCTTTATGATGGAACCAGGCTAGCTGTCTCGCCCTTGTTTCCAGTCTTTGTGCTAAGCTAAGCTAACAGGTGCTTGGTTCGAGTTTAGTGTGGAATCGATCTCTAAACTCTTAGCGAGAAAGCAAATTTAACAATCTGTCGAACTATTCCTTTAAAGGGTCAGCTGGAGAAAACACTTACAGAACCTCAGCAGAGGACAGCCCCACATACTATAAAGAGGATGTTACAAACATTTGATTAAATTAGGTTTATCTTGACTTAGCTTGCTGAACCGGTAGCACCATATTCAAATGTCACCATTGCGAGTTAATAAAATATCTGATTGAATTCCTCCTCTGTTTGTTCTTCCTCAGTCTGTGACCCTGTACAACTCGTCTATGCTGAGGGGGTCTGTACCTGCCGGTCAGTCCCTGGAGATTGAGGGGGCGTCCCAGCCCGGCCTGGTCACCAAGAACGGCCTTGTGCTGTACGGAAGCGACGGGAAAGCCGTGAGTGTCTCTGTCGTACTACAAAACAAACATTCAGAGCAAACAAAGGTAGCGTTGGGGGTCAGGTTCATGCCTCTGTTGGCTGTTGGTTCAGATGCACTCCAGATACAGTGAAAGGCTGCTAGGTGATTCAAACGCAGCTGGAAATGAGTCAAATACAGCGTGTGTTGTGTGTGTGATCCATTCTGTGTTTGGTCCCCAGCTCCTGGTGAAGAACCTGCAGTTCGAAGACGGGAAGATGATCACTGCCTCGAAATACTTCTCCTCCGGAGAAAGCTCCAGCGTGGAGCTGACCGATGATGAAAAGAAGATGGCGGAGGAGATCAGGGCAAGTTACTGGCGGCGTACTGTGTTCAGCTGATCGTGGCCCACGCTCAAACTTCTGCTTCTCTTCTCTTGAATATGTTTTTTTTTGTAAGCTGACCCAAGAGAGTGTGGCTGACTGAGAATGCTTTCATTTATCACAGAACATCTGGAAGGGCATCCTCAGCAATGTCACAGCCATTGAGGACACCACAGACTTCTTCAAGTGTGGAGCCGCCTCCATGGATGTGGTCAGGTGAGGGAGGAGGCCGGTGCAGCCATGGGTCAGAAATGATCACTTGGAGTGAGCAGTCGGCATTCAAAGACGCCATGAAACAACAAATACATATTTTTTTTAATTGTGAACCCCTGCAACCACGAGAGGTCCTTCAGCATACAATCATAAATGTGCACGTAAAATATCTGAGATATGAGATAAGCTGTGAACCGACAACGACTGAACACACCTGAATTTATACGCAAATAATAATACAAAGTCAGAAGAAATAAAAGGTGTACGTAAACCTATGAATTTTTATAAACCCTTTACGATCCTAAAGAAACTACTGTGCAGTACTGTAAGCCCTGATGGAGCGCTGCTGTCTGTTGTGTGCAGGCTGGTGGAGGAGGTGAAGCAGAAGTGCGCCAGCGTCCAGCTGCAGAGCGAGGACGTGTACATGGCTACCACCTTCCGGGACTTCATCCAGATGTTTGTCCGCAAGCTGAGAGGGGAGGACCAGGAGGAGGAGCTGGTCATCGACTATGTGAGTCCCCCAATTTGATGTCTCAGTGAGCCCAAACTGAGCGTGCTGATTTTTAACAAAAGTGGAGTGAGATCCTTTCCGTATAACTTCCAAACAGGTAGGTGATTTTGGGTTGTGATTGTTGCACTGCTACTGTTGTATTTTATCTAGGCAACAAGAGAAATAAACAACATGACAGTGAAGATGCCAAACCAGTGTTTCATCAACGGAAAGTTTGAAGATGCAGAAAACGGCAAGGTCTACGACACCATCAACCCTACTGACGGATCAGTGAGTCCCTGTCAGATGAATACACACACACACACACACACACACACACACACACACACACACACACACACGGAAGGTTTCGTTCTCGCATTAATCATTAGACCATGTGTGACCATTGCATCCTTGTGATCTGCTAGGTGATCTGCAAGGTGTCCTTTGCCTCGGTGGGGGATGTGGACCGGGCGGTAGCGGCTGCCAAAGAAGCTTATTATAACGGACCCTGGGGCAGGATGAACCCTAGAGACAGAGGGAGTCTGCTTTACAAGTGAGTAGCTCCACCTAGAGGACTGCAGTGGGACTGCACAAAGCGCAGAGGTCTGCTCTGTAAATGACATGTCCCGTGTTCTGCTTTGTGTAAAAATCAAGAACCAAAAAGAAGAATTTCCTATTTTTTTGGTTTCATTATGGTGTCCACTAGTTTTTGGCTATGTACATGGAGACCTCATTAACATACAGCCAAATGTTGCTTAAAGCAGTATGGTCATATCACAGGCTATGATTTTATGGTCATCAGTATGTTGTCCAATGTCAAGTGAGTGAGTAAAAGCAATTGGAACATACTGGATTTGAATGGCTATATACAGTAACCGTTTATCCGAACTTTATTCATAGATTTTCAATATAACACAAGATTGTGCACAAAATCATTGCATCTACAGCGTTATGTCAGACGACAGACAAAAAAACAGCAAAAAAACAGAAGTCTCTTTTCAGAGATTGTTTCAATCCATGATGATCAAATCTAGACCTTTAAGCTCTGGGACGGAACGCCACTTTAGTCCGCATGTTTACATCAAATAGAAATGGCTGCCATAAATGATAGAACCTCTCAGTTGAGCCTCCAAGAGTAAACTGTATCTGTTCTAGGTGGAGAGACTGCATAAGTTCTCCAATCCACTGAATATGTGATGGTGGTGGTTCTTTTTTCCCACCACAGCAGAGTTGGGCGTCTAACTACTTGACAATCAAAAGCTAGGAGAGTTAGCTTGTATTCCAGAAATATCTGTGTAAATGTCCTAAAAACAGAAGTCCAATAAGGGGACACTCTTGGACGAGTCCAGAAAGTTTGAATAAAGGAGCCTATTTGTAATTTACATCTGTTCCAATTAAGATCCAAATCAGGATAAATCTTTTTATTTGAGAAGAGAAGCCGATGTACCACTTTAAACTTTGTGAGCCTGTGTCGAGAGCAAATAGAGGCAGCATGAACTCCTTCAGTAATGGACTTCCAAACATTCTCTGAGAATTAGTCCTTGTCTCTCATTACCCCCCCCCCCCCAGGCTGGCAGACCTGATGGAGGAACACCAGGAGGAGCTGGCCACCATCGAGTCCGTCGACTCAGGAGCTGTGTACACGCTGGCCCTCAAGACCCATGTGGGTATGTCCATCCAGACCTTCCGATACTTTGCCGGCTGGTGCGACAAGATCCACGTGGGTTTAACGTTCGGACACACACACACACATGCTGCAGTTTTAACAGATTGTGACACCAGAGGTTTTTCTGTTGCAGGGCAAGACGATCCCTATCAACCAGGCCAGGCCCAATCGCAATCTGACCTTCACCAAGAGAGAGCCTCTGGGGTAAAAGCGCTGAGTTTTACCGAGCGCTTCCTACAACATTATCGCTGATTGTGTGTTTCTTACTCTGTGTCTTATCGTTACTTCAGTGTGTGTGCCATCATCATCCCGTGGAACTATCCTCTCATGATGCTGGCGTGGAAGAGCGCCGCCTGCCTCGCAGCGGGAAACACGCTCGTTCTCAAACCCGCGCAGGTGAGATCGCCGCACACACACACTTTAACTCGCATATTAGTGCTAAAATAACTGAATATTCACCAGGTTCGAGGTAAATGTGCTGACCAAGGCTGAATGGACCCGGTGAGTGTCTCATGCATTATCCCCCAATGTTTACAGGTCACTCCGTTGACGGCGCTGAAGTTTGCCGAGCTGTCGGTGAAAGCCGGCATTCCGAAAGGAGTCATAAACATTTTGCCAGGCTCAGGTAATGAACAAACATACAGGATCCACGTAGGCTGTTTTCTGTTTTTACTGTTTGTGATTTTTGTCCTTGAGGTCATGAGGTGAATTAGAAATGAGTGCAAATAGAATCTGACCGATAATATTCAGTGGTACCCGACATCGGTCGCTTGTTAAAGGAACAGTGTGTAGGGTTCAGGAGGGTCCATTGGCAGAAATGGAATATAATCTGATACTTACTTGAGTGTATGATCACCTGAAACTAAAAAATGATTGTGTTTTCACTAGCTTAGAATGAGCCCTTCATATCTACATAGGGAGTAGATATGTTGCACCGCCGTGTTTCTACGGTAGCCCAGAACGGACAAACCAAACACTGGCTCTAGAGAGAGACTTTTATGTTTCGCGTAGGCCTGCCGTAGTTCTCCGAAACGCTCGGCACACAGGAGAAGTATCAGTTGGTTGCAATCTGCAACCTCACCGCTAGATGCCGCCAAATCCTACTACTTCAATGCAAAGGAGAACCCCTGGTAACAGGTGTGGTAGTCCCTTCTCAGTCTGTTGTAATTGTTTCAAGAGACTCAAAAAGATAAACATTTTTTTTGTTTTTTTTACAATAAACAAAATCATTTAGTGTGGCAGATTTTCAGTTTCCTTGTCTAGTGTGTGGTTCGGAACCAAGAGGTTGGGAACTGTTGCGCAAAGATACGTCTATATGTGCCTCGTGTTCTGAAACTTGTACAGGTCTGGAATGCATATTTGTAAGTAAAAATCTAGTGATATGCTATTTTTTTTCTTAATTCCACGAAAAGACCAAATGTAACAATGAATTTATCTCCTAACAAGTATGTTGTGTGTATCAAAGCCTGATACTTCTTCTTCCTCTGAGCCATAGTTGTTGTTGAAATCACATCAGTGAGCCACACTGTTGAATGGGGTGACATGTACCTACATCACCATGAATACACTGTAGTTTGTTTTGACTCAATCCCACATACACCGCCCTGCTGCCTCACTAGAGCACCAAATGTGGATTGATTATTAATCCGCCACTGGAAATAGTCTCCAAGAAATTCCTCCTGTTTGAGTAACGTTTGATGAAAACTATAGGGACCAGCTGTTTTAGGAAATAACGAGCACTTTATAAAAAAATGAAAGTATACATTTACAGGCCCCTTTGTGAAGATTTACATCTTCAGAATGAACCAATGGGCTTAGAGCTGAGAGCCACAGACATGGGAGGGAAGTCAGAAAGTATTGAGAGATGGACCCACACATGGTTGGATTTAGTTTTTGTGGTATCCGTTGACAAAAGGAATAGTCCACAGTAATGCGTAACCTGTTCCGTCCTCCAGGTGGTATGGTGGGACAACGTCTGTCCGACCACCCGGACATCCGCAAGCTGGGTTTCACTGGCTCCACACCCATCGGCAAACAGATCATGAAGAGGTATCAGCTAGCGAACTCATTGCTCGGTCGACTTAACTGTCTGGTGAAACTTCATGCTTCTTCATTTATCTTGTGACTTCCTGTTGCAGCTGTGCGCTCAGCAACCTGAAGAAGGTTTCTCTGGAGCTGGGGGGGAAGTCACCTCTCATCATCTTCGGTGACTGCGACATGGACAAGGCTGTTCGCATGGTGAGAGAGAGAGGGAGGGGCTGTTGTCAGGCTGGTTTTTACACCAATGAATACATCTTTTTAATTGATAGAAGGTTCACCTCAAACCTGGTATTATTTATTAACATTTTGTGGTTCCAGGTTCTCAAATGTGAGGATTTGCTGTTTTCTATGATTGAAATTGAATAAGTTTAGGTGCAAGAGTGTTTTTCGAACAAAACTTTGACCTTGGCTTCAGGGAAATTGTGATGGTCATTTTCTATACAATTTTTTTTAGAGACTAATTTATCAATCAGCGGAATAAAATAACACATAAATCAATAATGAAAATATTCATAAGTTAAAGCCATACACAATGTCTGCCTAGAATGACAACTGAAAGCTTGGTCATGATCAAACATTCTTTAATAAGAATATATTTTAGTGTGATTATTATAAAAAAAATAAATAATTATACCTTCGTTTAATGCATTTTAATACTTAAAGAAAGCTCTAGTTAATGCACAAGAGAATAAAGTGCATCATCTGTGTGTGTGTGTGTGTGTGTGTGTGTGTGTGTCTGTGATCGTGTGTGTGCTTGCTGCTCCACAGGGCATGAGCTCCGTGTATTTCAACAAGGGGGAGAACTGCATCGCTGCCGGACGTCTGTTTGTGGAGGAGTCCGTTCACGATGAGTTCATCAGCCGAGTGGTGCGTGAGCCAAAACACTGAGAAAGCCTTTCTCTAGAAGAATAAGAGTGGTGCAGGAACGAGTCCTAAAACACAGAAATGAGTCAGCATTTTTTGCACTTCTGGTTCCCTCGTCTTAAAGTCAGTGGGTTTATATTTAATGGATTTTTGGTTAGATGCCTGAAATAATGTATTTGGTTTACACAAGCTTAAGAGATTTTAATGTTTTGTTCTACGACATCAAAATTCTTGAGTGGGATATTTACTGACATATTCCAAGGCTTTTTGTTGAGGGAACCAGTGTGATGCCAACTTACGCGTACACCTACAAAACTACGTCATCCCTGCAGCTCTCTATACAGCACATTAAAAGGGGACTTCAATATAGTTAGGGGACTGACTCCTGCACTTCCAATAAAGCAATTTGATAGTGTCACTTTGAGCGGAAGAAACAAGGAACTGCATCATTAATCTCTCCCTCCTTTCCAACCTCTAAGGTGGAAGAGCTCAAGAAGATGAAGATTGGAGACCCACTGGATCGCTCCACGGACCACGGACCACAGAACCACAAAGCCCACCTGGACAAGCTGCTGGAGTACTGCGAGGTCGGGCTGAAGGAGGGAGCGACGCTGGTGTACGGAGGGAAGCAGGTGGACAGGCCAGGTAGAACACACAGAGACTCTCTGAGTGCAACAGCACAATGTCTGTAGCTAATGGGACTCATTCTCAGTCCACTCAGGTCACCTTTACACACAGGACACAGGGTGTGTGTTTAGAAGTGGTGGGTTTATCTGTATTAACTGTGTGTCTGCTTTTAAAATTTAGCATCAGTTATCTTTTACATTTTACAGCAATTACAGATGGCTTTTATTTGATGTATCTGCATCACCTGTTGAGTTTACCTGTTCTTTCCTTCTTTAAAAATCTTTAGTTTATGTGCAGACTAAGATAAGGGTGCAACTAATAATTGGATTCACTACAGAATATAGTAATTTAGTCAATTATTACCACAGTGCCAAGTTTTGTTCAACTGTTTATTTCCTAGTGTTTGTGTTTTTCACAAATATATTACACCAGAGAAATCTTTCGCTCTCCCCAAACTATACAGTGTATCTTTATGAAGGATAGTTTGGATTGTTAACAGTGGTAATAGCTACATGCTAATATTTAGATGAACATTATCTCTCGGCTGCGAGCCACTAAGCCAGTGTTTTTCAACCTTCTCTGAGCCGCGGCACATTTTTTACATTAAAAAGATCCCGCGGCACACCAACAACCAAAAACCTTACAAAATGACACCTTTTAGCATAATACAGTATATGCCAGGGGTGTCAATCTCAATCACAGAGGGGCCAAAATAAGAAATTGTGACTACGTTGAGGGCCAAATAGAGTCACCATTTAATAAACAGGATAGAAGGGATATTGGACAAAGCGCAAAAAGAATACATGTTAGGCTACATTATTTTATGCATATGTGCCAGAGCCAGATGTTTGGCATCTTCTCTTGGCTGCCAGTTCATTAATATCGGGGGTTAGGTTCTGTGGAAACCCTCAAAATGGAGTGAAGGTATGCATCAGTGAGACAACTCCTGTGTGGGTTTTTGTTCATCTTCATCACAGAGAACAGCTGCTCACACAGGTATGTGCTCCCAAACATGCAGAGCATTTGAGCAGCATGGAGGCGGAGTTAAGGCATCGTTTCGGGGGTGAAGCTTGGAAACTGTGCAGCGCCCTCAGAGTCACACTTTGCCTTGAGTGTCATTACACTGGAGCTCTATCAGCTCCACAGGTGCTCTTTCCACGTCAACTGCAAACGGATTGCTGAGCAGTTCAAATTTAAATTTCTGAGCTGCAAAGTCGGTAAATCGCCGAGTGATCTGTGCCAAGTGCGCCCAGTTTATCAGCAAAATGCGCAGTCGGGAACACAGCGGTGGAGACTTTTACTGCCTCACACATGTCTGTGATCATACGTCCCTGAAGCTGGAGGTTTAGAGCAGTGAGATGCTTCGTTATGTTGCACATAAAGCCAGCTAACATCACCACCTTTCGTCCCGGAGCTCTGTGGTGTGGTGGGCCAGTTATGATAAACATGATATTTTCTGGCGGGCCGTTGTACCGAGGGCCGGATATATGCTGACAATTTAATGACAAGTCTCTAAATGTGTTGATCCTTATAGGCTTTTCATCTGGGTTATTTTGTCCAGGGCTGTGGAGTTCGAGAGCCTCTTAAACTGTGGGAATTACCGCCTTTGACCCAGTAATACTAAAAAGTCAGCCGGTTTCAATTATGAACAAAAGCATTTAATACTTCTGATGCTAAAACAGTTGCATAGTGAAGTACATTATTTACAGTTGCATAGAATATGACCCGCTCACCCCGAAAGCGTTACCACCCACACAGTGGAACAGGAGCAAGAGGCCGGAAGTTCTTTCTCTCCCGCCTTACATAGTTCAAAGATCCCATAATGTCCGTAGTTCCTATTGGCTAAATCCAGCTGGCTCCTCCTTCGCGCAGGACCCTCGCACGGGTGTGATCTGTAAATGCCTGTCTGAAATCTCTCTTTCCCTTACTCCCAACATACTATTCTTTACAGTTTAAAACATTCAATGACTGTCTTTTATGGCTTAACACTTCTATGATAAAAACTTCACAAGTTTCACAAGCATAGATATAAAGGTGCTACAAATTCTACTAAGATACACTTCTAACTACAAATCCTAAAACATTTCTACAATTATGAATCTTCCAATTATGTATTCCAAAACGCTTCTAATTATGATTTCTTAATTATGAATCATTAAACACTTCTATTATAATTTCTTAAAAGACAGTTCTAAACCCAAATTTCCTACAGGCCCAGTTCAGAGTCTGCATTTTTACTTTTCAAATATTTCTCCGCAACCTCTCCCGCACGTCATACTGTCTTAAATTAACACGGTCATTACTGCGCTACCTACTGCCACCCACTGGCATGGAAGAGTATTTATTACTTAGCCAGACACTACGTATATTGCAGATCAGATGCTCAACAATGGCAAAGTATTTGCAACAACTAAATAATATTGTATTGGACTTATTAGGTGAAATTGGACATTTTCCCACGGCACACCTGACGACCTCTCACGGGACACTGGTGCGGCACAGCGGTTGAAAATCACTGCACTAAGCTACCTAGCAAGCTAGCTATTTACTTTTTTATACAACTTCAGGGAGATATTGGTGCATTTGCGCTAAAACATTACCACAGTTACGTTGCTCAGTCTAAAGAGGGAAGTTAGAAAATGCATAATTTATAACTTTTGATAAAAGCTGTTTTCAAGTTAGCCGTTTCTCATTTTAGCATCATTGTTAACGTTAGCTAATCATTGATATTGTAATTTCCCTTCAGGTTTTTTCATGGAGCCCACAGTGTTCACTAATGTGGAGGACCACATGTTCATCGCCAAAGAGGAGTCATTCGGCCCCGTCATGGTGGTGTCCAAATTCAAAGATGGGTGAGTCATCAAAAAGGTATCTTGCTGCAGTTGCTGCAGTGCTATTCGAGATGCTAACCGGTATTCTCTGTACCACCTGCGAACCACAGCGACGTGGACGGCGTGCTGCAGAGAGCCAATGACACGGAGTACGGCCTGGCCTCGGGCGTGTTCACCCGCGACATCAACAAGGCCATGTACGTGAGCGAGCGGCTTGACGCCGGAACGGTATTCGTCAACACCTACAATAAGACCGACGTGGCTTCACCTTTTGGGGGCTTCAAACAGTCCGGCTTCGGCAAAGACCTCGGTGAGTAGAGACACAAATGTCATGGCATGGATTTAGAAAGTCCGATTTTTCTTATTTTTTTTTACTTTAGTTGAACATTTGTGTCATTGATATATTGACTGGAATAAGGGGGGTTATTTTACACATACAGGCCAGATCATTTGCAATTACAACTCAACCTATTTGTTAAGTAATGATAATGTGGTAGCTCATTTCTGCCAATTTGATGAGGAAAAAAGGGCCCGTAAGTCATTTTAGTCAGACTTAGTAACTCAACATAATGATTTAATATCTCAAAATAATGACTTAGTATCTCAACATAATGATTTAATATCTCAACATAATGACTTACTATCTCAACATAATGACTTAATATCTCAACATAATGAGTTAGTTTCTCAACATAATGACTTAATATCTCAACATAATGAG